CAATTATTCAAAATAATTATTGTCTTGTTATGTTTGCTCAAAAAATGTAATTTTTCGTTATTTAAAAAATGTATAAAATATAAATATAATAATAAAAAATAAATATAATATAAATGTATAAATAATGTAAAAATAAAGTCGCAAATTTGAGACTCTCTGTACTCAATACGCTCAACACGCTACATACGCTCATCGACGTTCGATTATAATTGTAATGCCCTTGACTGATAATAACTGATAACACAATAGAGATAGATACATGTGAAAAAATGGCATATGTGAGAATGTTCCAATAAGATAAATTCACTAATCTGAAAAAATGTAAAATAATCGAGATATAAGACTAAGAGTCATCGATGTCGCAATTCTTGTGATATTACAGTAAATGTAATATCATAATATATTTCAATGATATAACGGATATAGCATATTTCAATCTTTCGAAATTCTATAGGTAGAATAAATATAACTATCTTAATGATTTTAAAATAAATGATAAAAAAAAATAAATAATAAAAAGAAAAGTAAATTATCTCTGGAAAATATTACATAATAGATGTTCAATTGATTAACAATCGTACAAAACTGCAAAAGATTGTAACAACTCGTAAACCTTTCAATATAAATATCATGTTACACATAACGTGTTCACTTGATATTGCGTTTGTTTGTTGGTTCCTCGAAATGACGAAAAATGTGTCGAATTTTCGAAGGGGACTTTCGTTTCGAACAAAGTTCTTCGAACATCAGAATTCGAAGAAGGAGAGAAAGAGGATCCGTGTTGTTCGAGGAATGGTTCGTCGTAATTACGACTCAGGCCAAGACTAAGAGGGCAAAGAAACGCATGCCAATGGCGTAATATTAAGTGGATTACTTTACAAAGACCTTGTTAACTAATGAGCTTTAAACAAAGCGTTTCTTTGTTTTACAGCAGAAACAAAAAAAAAAACAAGAAAAAAGTACAATGGAATGTCGAATTTGAACTTCCTGTATGTTTATATCAAATTTTTTTTAGTATCTATAAAGTTCCTATGAAATTTTCTTCTTTTCTGGGAAGCCTTTGAGGAATTCTCTCGCAACGGAGTTTCCCAAGTATCTTGTAACGATTGTTTTTCGCGAGTTACACCATTGAGACGAGGAATGTCAACAGTTAAGAGGAAAACGCGTGATTAAAGATCCAAAAGGAAGACTCAAAAGATTCCCTTTGACGTCACACTGTGTGAGTTTATCTACCGATGAATAGATGTATACAGCAACACAGATAATTGGCTTGAATTCATACGCAGATAAAACCGGATTCCATGGGCATGATTTAAAAAAAAAAATACATCCGAATGTATCCGCCCGTTTCGTCGTCCGCGTGCCTGTCGTGCCTTTGCACGATCGTATTGCACGAGGAAAACAATACTGATAGTTGATACTAACTGTCGCGTTTCATATTGCGCATAATACGTAGAATTAATGCCCTCGAGAGCATTTCTATCAATGATTTCGCGCTGGAGATCCTCCCTTGTGACGTATGTTTCTTCGCTGATTGAGCTTCCGCAGATTATCACGAAAGTCATTGATATGTCATTTCTTGATGCAACGCCACAATTATTGCGCGTTAGAAAAAGCAGAATAATTCACATAACACCTGCAAATCTGGCGATATTTTGATATTTTATTTTATCAATGGTATTTTTTCCATTTTTGTATTCTTTCAGAGAATAATAATAGAATAATTCAGAATAATTTAGAATTAAAATCAAAATTGCTAATTAAATAATAATTTAAAATCTTATATTGTATAACTGATATGCTACTTCAAATAAAAAAGTTACGTTGTGCCTTGAGAATCAAGTAAGTGAAGAAATTAGAATGTGGGACACAGAGTGGACTTCCCCCAGAGTTTACGTAAATATAAAGAGGAAGGAATTTTACCTTTCGTGCGTCAAAGAAAGGCTACCAATTCACACTATTGCATATATGCTGTGTAGCATACTAACCGATAAATTTTACTTTATAATAGATCAACGAAAATTTAAATTCGCTCATAGGAAAAAAAATCGAAATAAATTTTCTAAAATCTATATTATAAAAATAAATTTTCGATATAATTATTGAGAAAATGCAATACTGTTGTGAGATTACTAGTATAATATTGCATCATAAACCATATTAATCTAATTTTAATTGAATACGTATTTTAGAATCCAATTTGATAAAAAAGAATATAAACCGCAGAAATCGTTGCATTAAAAATATTTTCTATTAAATTTTCATTTAATTAGATACGAAGAAAAAGCTTTTAGCGGAAATGTATATCACGATTAGGTTTTCCGATATCACGTTCATTTCTCAAGAACTTTAAAATTCGCAGAATGTGATTATTTCGTTGCTGGCAGTATTTTAATATTAATCTAGCATGCTTTTGGCTCGAATCGATAGGTATCAAGGACGTCATATACTACACAAAGACGCGTGTGGTCTCCGTTTCAATTTCTATGAACAAATCAATTGTCACTGCGACAAAAACTCAGTGACATAATATGATAGATATTGATATCAATGTCCAGGAATTTTACTTTCTCTTGATTATCTGTTCGGAGTGCCATTCAACCACAATGATAAAGATAGTTCAATGATCTTATCTTTGAATATTATCGAGTAAATTATTTTTTTTAGATAATGCATAATAAATAATCTTATGGATTCTATTTGTCTTAATTACTTATGAGCATATAAGATTGCTTTTCAACAAGAGAAATAATAACAAAAAATTATAAATTCGTTAAACTCATAATTTTTTAAAGCAATTAATACAAGTTCTCAAATTATCAAATAAATGGAAACAGTTTCCATGAATAACTGTTGCCATGATGATTAAATCAAAATATGTTTCCAACAATATAATATTAACTTTTATATATAAAATAAAACATAAAAAATACATAACAATTTTTAATGACAACTATCAGCCAATGATTTCTAAAGACTATATTTTCATATTTTTGAAGACTCTGTTAAAACTAAATAATTAAGTAAACAGCAACTTCTATAACAAGTGTAAAAACGTGATATTCATGAGTGATATTCATGAGAAACCTATTTATAGAGTATGTGTGACTCAGAGTTAGTTATAAGATAATGATAACTCTGTGCACACGATACGGTCAATTACCTACGAAAGAATGTTTTTGATTATATATCGCAAAATAGGTGTAACATTAGTAATGTTTTGTATAATTAAGAGAAAAACTATTAATATAATTTAAAAAGCTATTAAATATAGATATAATATCTAAAAAATGTATAATCAGAATATCAAGACCGAACAAAACATGTGCAATATTAATTGCCATTGATTCTCCGTTGGTAATAAAATTTTCAACCTTCGTTCGCAAGAAGAGTTTTTGAACTTCAAAATAAACAAAATTTTACATTTCTGTAAAAGCTTTAATTTCGAGTTGTTATCACCGTAGAAGTTAGTTTCTATTTTATTTTTTACAAATTTTTTAATTTATCTATCAGAATTCTCAATTAAAAAATTAATTGTGCCAACATTGCTGGTGCATAGGTAACAGGACCAAAATAGGATTTTAAATTTTTCGATATTGTATTAAATGTTTTTTGTAAAATATTAAAATCATTGAAATTAAATTATCAATATACTGAGATTTATTAATATCTAATAAAATGTAAAACATATTATGTTAACAACTAATAAAATAGAAATATATTTCTTTGATTTCAGTCGCCTGCATAGCTATTGCGATGAATGCAATATTAAACAATGTGGACATTGAGGTGTTGTGCGAAAACTTGTTAAAAAAACCACTAGAAGATTCATACGATGTGATCTTTGTAGGTGATTTATTATATGACGAAGAAATAGCGAACACTTTAGTGGCTTGGTTGGGAGACGCACATGAACGGGGTTCACAAATTTATCTAGGAGATCCAGGAAGGCACGGATTAAATGAAACTTTCAGAAAACGATTGAAATTGATACGACGATATTCTTTGTCTGAAAATATCAAGAAGGAAAATCACGGTTATGATATGGCCATTGTGTGGGAATTTAACCAAACTTGAACAACTCTGGAATTACATATAAGAATAAGAAACGTTCTAAAGTTCGTCAAAGTTATTTTAATAAAAGAATTTCAACTTTTCTTAATTAAATAATATTTAACATAGGTTTAAAATGTACCATCATAAAATAAATTATTTATTTTTAATTAAATATTTGTCTTGGCCTTGAAATAATCCTTTAAAATTTTATAAAAAATCTTATACGATTGGAAATTTCTTATGAACATTTTAGTGAGATAAACACGTATGTTATAAGTTAATTTTTAGATAATATGCTCATACTATTTTACTCTGACGCACATTCGAATATTTCTGCATTGTTATGAAATAAACTTTAAGCTGGATTTACGTTTAAGTCGCAATAAATTGATCACTTCTTCACTTATATGGATTGTATTGTAAGTAATGTTTGTTCGGACGTCAGTATAAATTGACGCAAATATACCAAAATCATTACGACATATAATTGTCATATAGCTGCGTATGTAACAATCGCAAATCGATATATACCGCTCATCAGCAATGCTGTGTCATGTGTCCGTGCTTACGTTAAACCACGACGTAAACACTTTATACGGGGAATTCTTTGTAATACTTCCAACAATCTTCGAAACTATCCGCGCACGCGCGTGCTATTTTAAGAGCAGAAAATCCTATTTCATTACATAATCCATTTATGCATATCTCGTTTTCATATAAACTCGCAAGTACATACGTCAAACTGTACGTGATTATTCTTATATTTTTTATATTTTTATCGCAAATATTTTACGAAGCGTGTCATCTCATCGAATGAAATCTATATTATTTTAGGAAACGATTATTAGATAGCTCGAACGTTTTCCTAATAAAAAAAAATAAATAAATAAATAAAGAACAATAAATAACAAATCGAATGCAATATATTTCTCTACTTCACTTACCTGCTTGCTAACAAATGATTCCATATTTCCGTGTTGCGATATCAGACCCGTGCGGAGAGATGTAACGTTTGACAGCTTGATTCTGCATTCATACCTCGATCGATCTATAAATACAAAGTGCATGTGTTACATAGGATGTTACAAATTTGTCGCATTTTCTTTCAATTACGAATTCTTTGCTCTCTCAATTTCGAATATATTTAAGCTCAATCAAAATGAGAAAATGATAATGCTTTAATTAATTAGACGTATAACTTCAGACGTATAACTAATATTAAGTAAAAGCCTTTTTTCATTTATATTAAGTAAAGTCCTTTTTTTTTCATTTCAGATAAATTTATTTTAACAAAATTTTAATATACTTTAAAATACTTAATTGTAAAGCTATTTAATGTTATATATTAAATAAGATTGTCTAAAAAAAATCTAGTCAATATTAAATAGAAAGTCCAGAGCTAAAAGAATCTATGCTACAAAGATTTACAAAAGATATATATATATAAAACAACTATATAAAGAATATACATAAAAAGAAAAACGTGTTGTTTTGCAATAAATGATTAGATGTATAAAACATTAAAACTCACTGTTGTATATCTTCGTGCCGTCTTTACAAGTACACGGCTGCTCTTGCTCGTTGACAGGACACTGCAGAATGCAATTCTCCAAAGCGCATTCTGTAAAGTGATATATAATCAGTTCTGGAATTCCAAAGATTTTCGTGTTCTCACTTTATTTCATTCGTACTTTATTCAGTCTTCTCGTTAACACACGAATAATATGTAATATACGTATAAAACAATTAAAAAACAGTATGAATAGGCTCTTGGAACATGAATTCAAACATATACTAAACAAAAATCAGCTATTAGAGCCGCACTAGTTGATAAATGTGATTTGTGTGACTGGGATGAAGCAATCAACAACTTTTGTTGCCATATGGCTCATTTTTAAGTATATATTTGAATGTACATATAAAAATAAAACGGATTGAATAATAAATCTAATTGAATCGTAATCAAACAGTAAAACATTACCAGTATCTGATGTATCTAAAAGACGAGTTTCGCAATTGTGTCCAACGTAACCATTCGGACAATCACAGTGCATTGCTTCTGCTCCAATTTGTCTACAATAAACAAATAATTATTCATTCGATAAGTTATC